TTAGGTTAGGGTTGTATTAGGTTATGATGATAATATATTTTCTTAGTTTTTCTTTCAGTCTTAAATTATGTAAATTTATTTTATTATTTAAATAGATTTTAGAATAGTTGATTTGATGACGTGACATTCTCTCAAATCGATTACACATTCGAGTTATTATGGAATAAACGAAAATCTCTCTCAAGGAGTGTTTTCAACAAAAATTTCCATTGAACTTTAGACTTTGATCTCTGAACTTTAACCTTTGACAGGTTTTGACGTTTGACATTTCTTTGACAGTTGACATTTTTTATGTTAGGTTAGGATGATGTGACGTCAGGTTAGGATGGAGTTAGGTTAGGGTTGTATTAGGTTATGATAATAATATATTTTCTTAGTTATTCTTTTAGTCTTAAATTATGTAAACTTATTTTAATATTTACATAGATTTTAGAATAGTTGAAAATCGAAACAAAAATCTCTCTCAAGTAGTGTTTTCAACAAAAATTTCCATTGAACTTTGGACTTTTATCTCTTAACTTTAACCTTTAACGTGTTTTAAAGTAATAACTCATTTTTGACGTTTGACATTTCTTTGACAGTTGATATTTTTGATGTTAGGTTAGATTAGGATGGGGTTAGGTTAGAATGAGGTGACGTTAGGTTATGATGGGGTTAGGTTAGGTTAGGATTGTGTTGCGTTAGAGGTAAGATTACGTGATTGGGCACTGTGATTTGTCTGGATATTTAATTTGGCTCTGTAATATGTCCAGTGATGAGATTTGGTACAGTAATATATTTGCAAATTTAAGAAAAAGTTTTCAATAAGTAGTGATGGCCTTTGGATGGTAAAGTTAAGCAACATGTATTGTGGACAGTACTTCAATTGGTGATAACTATAATATTTAGGGCTAATGTTAGTGATTTATTTTGAATCACAACTTCTTTTTTGCTGTAATTATATTACTTTATTGAATTTCATTTAAAATTCAAATTTATAATTTGCATATGGGTTGTTTTCCAAATATTGTTTATAATTAACATTTTTTGTACATGTTTTAATAACAGACGTAATGAAAATGTAATTATGTAAAAAACCGGGAGGAGGAGGAGAATAATCCGTTCGGACAATATTTGTTGTGTGTAATCCTACGAGTGAACTAAATGAGTGTGAGAGAGATGCATAGTTGTGTAACTGTATAGAAGAGAGAGAGAGAGAGATAGATAGATAGAGACTGGGATAGGGAAAGATTTTAAGCTCCGTTTTGTTTGGTCAAACTGTGCGCAATTATCGGGGGATTATTCTGTAATATTAATAAGCGGAGGGCCGTAGCGGAGGCGGCAGTTTTAACATGAACGTATCTGTCCGTGTGTTGGCAATACATCCGATCTGCCGGGGATTCCCCTCACTCCACCTATCGAAATTAAATAGTAATTTATTGTTGCAGGATTCCGGCGCATTAATTTTAATTGAATGCCAAATCGGTTCGCATTAACATTTTCACCACGATTGATTCACTTCTTTTGATCATCAAAATGATTATAATCATCTGTATTAGAGAAATCTGTATTATTTTACTCAAAATCGTATATTTCAATCAAAAATTGTTAGTTTCATTAATGCTATGTCTTAAAATTGATGATAATAATAGAGTTTTAGTATTAGTTTGTAAGTCAACAAAAAGCTGATTTTTTTTTACTGAAAATCCTGTATTTCAATCAAAAATTGTTAGTTTCATCAATGCTATATCTTAAACTTGATGATGATGATAATAGACTTGTCTTAAAATTGATGATAATAATAGAGTTTTAGTATTAGTTTGTAAGTCAACAAAAAGCTGATTTTTTTTTTACTGAAAATCCTGTATTTCAATCAAAAATTGTTAGTTTCATCAATGCTATATCTTAAACTTGATGATGATAATAGACTTGTCTTAATCTTGATGATGATAATAGAGTTTTAGTATTAGTTTGTAAGTCAAGAAAAATCTGATTTTTTTTTACTGAAAATCCTGTATTTCCATCAAAAATAGTTGGATTAATTAATATTACGTCTTAATTAAAACCAATAAAAAATAGAAAATAAAAACCAAACATTTTAACACTTGATTTTATTGTTGTTGTTAGAAACGCGATGATGATAATAGAGATTTAGTATTAGTTTGTAAATCAACAAGAGGGTAATTTGGTAAAGCCATGTATTTAATTATGTAGAGAAGAAAAGGAAGCGGACGGACGAAACGGTAATTGCCAATTAAACTAAATGAGATCTTCAATAACATCGAAGAAGGATTAACACAAATACCCTTAGGGAATATAAGACGTAATAAGATGTAAACACTCAAGGGAACATGGAAATCACAAGCACATAAAAACAACCAGAAAAACAGACGAAGAATATTTAATTTCATAACTTTTATCTTAATTTTTATGTTATTTTTAAGCAATACTTTTTTCATTGTATTTAGATTTAATAAAATAATTCCAGAAAGATAAATTGTTTGTAATTTTACAAAGTGTAAAAGACTAGTTAATTGCTTTGACATAAGTTGACAGCTGTCATTTCTTAACAGAATGCCCAAATAATATAAAGAATGCTTAGTTATCAGATATAGAAGCGTTTCACAACATTTTTGCTGCATGACTCAACATATTTGTTTGTAATTATACAACGTGTAAAAGAATAATTCTTCGTTTTGACACAAGGTGACAGCTGTCATTTCTTAACAGAATACCCAAATAATATAAAGAATGACTAGATATGAGATATTATACCGTTTTACAACATTTTTGTCTGCATGATCCAACATACTTGTTTGTTATTGTACAAAGTGTAAAAGATTGGTTCATCGCTTACATACAAAGTGACAGCTGTCATTTCTTAACAGAATGCCCAAATAATGTATAAGCATTCTATAGCAGAAATAGCTGCGTTTCTCAAAATATATTTGCTTAACGACCCAACATATTTGTTTGTACTTGTACTAAGTATAAAAGACTAGTTCCTCATTTTGACACAATGTGACAGCTGTCATTTCTTAACAGAATGCAGAAATAATGTATATAATGCCTACATTATAACATATATATTTAGTAAATATACAAAATGTAAAAGTCTGTAAAAGTTCAGTTCTTCGTTTTGACACAGGGTGACAGCTGTCATTTCTCAAGAGAATGCCTATAAGTTTATGGAATGCCTAGATATGTGATAATTGCAGCGTTCATTTCTTAACAGAATGCAGGAATAATGTAAATAATGCCTACATTACAACGTATATGTTTAGTAATTATACAAAATGTAAAAGTTTAGTTCTTTGTTTTGACACAAGATGACAGCTGTCAACAGAATACCTATACAGTTTAGGGAATGCCTAGATATGTGAAATTACAGCGTTTTACAATATTTTTGCCGCTAATCCAACATACTTGTTTGTAATTGTACAAAGTGTAAAAGATTAGTTCTTCGCTTTCATATAAAGTGACAGATGTCATTTATTAACAGAATGCCCAAATAATGTATAGAATGCCTAGATAGAAGAAATAGCTGCGTTTCTCAACATATTTTTGCTTAACGACCCAAAATATTTGTTTGTAATTGCACTAAGTGTAAAAGGATAGTTTCCCAATTTTAGACAAGGTGACAGCTGTCATTTCTTAACAGAATGCAGAAATAATGTATATAATGTCTATATTACAACATATATATTTAGTAATTATACAAAATGTAAAAGTTTAGTTCTTCGTTTTGACACAATGTAACAGCTGTCATTTCTCAACAAAATGCCTATACAGTTTAGGGAATGCCTAGATATGTGATAATTGCAGCGTTTTACAATATTTTTGCCGCTTATCGAACATACTTGTTTGTTATTGTACAAAGTGTAAAAGATTGGTTCATTGCTTCCATACAAAGTGACAGCTGTCATTTCTTAACAGAATGCCCAAATAATGTATGCAATGCCTAGATAGCAGAAATAACTGCGTTTCTCAACATATTTTTGCTTAACGACTTAACATATTTGTTTGTAATTATGCTAAGTGCACTAGTTCCTTGCTTTGACACAATATGACAGCTGTCATTTCTTAACAGAATGCAGAAATAATGTATATAATGTCTACATTACAACATATATATTTAGTAATTATACAAAATGTAAAAGTTTAGTTCTTCGTTTTGACACAATGTGACAGCTGTCATTTCTCAACAGAATGTCTATATAGTTTAGGGAATGCCTAGATATGTAATATTGCAGCGTTTTACAATATTTTATCTAAAATACTTGTTTGTAATTGTACAGAATGTAAAATATTAGTTCCTCACTTTGACACAATGTAACAGCTGTCATTTCTTACAGGATGCAGAAATAATGTAAATAATGTCTATATTACAACATATATATATATTTAGTAAATATACAAAATGTAAAAGTTTAGTTCTTCGTTTTGATACAGGGTGACAGCTGTCATTTCTCAACCGAATGTCTATACAGTTTAGGGAATGCCAGGATATGTGATAATTGCAGCGTTTTACAAAATTTTGCCGCTGATCCAACAATCTTGTTTGTAATTGGACAAAGTGTAAAAGATAAGTTCCTCGCTTTCATACAAATTGACAGATGTCATTTATTAACAGAATGCCTAAATAATGTATGGAATGCCTAGATAGCAGAAATAGCTGCGTTTCTCAACATATTTTTGCTTAACGACCCAACATATTTGTTTTTAATTGTACTAAGTATAAATGACTAGTTCCTTGATTTGACACAATGACAGCTGTCATTTCTCAACAGAATGCTCATATAATGTATGGAATGCCTAGATAACAGATGGCATTGCGTTTATCAACAATCTTGTGTGTAATTCTATAAAGTGTAAAAGATTAGTTTCTCGCTTTTACACAAGGTGACAGCTGTCATTAAATAATCCTTTTATACAGAACACTGGAATTATATATTATGTACTTAAACCAAGAGTTTCATTAAATAATATATTAACATTGTTGTTTTCTTTGTTGTTTATAGCGGATCCGAAGAAGGACCATTGCAACAAGACGGTGGATATATACGACGACGTGTCGAGTCCGGAAGTGACGCCGGATAATGTCGGCAAACCCATGACCTGTTGGTACAGGTTCCGGTCGTTTCGCGGCACCCCCAAAGACTGGATCCTTCGCATCAAGTTTAACAAGTTCAAAGTGGGAACGCTACTAAATGCGAGCCACTGCGAGGGCGGCTACATGCAGGTAAATTTAACCAAATTTTTGTTTCCTCCACGAAAAATCTATTTACAGACAAAAAGTCCATCCTTACTCGTGACCAACTTCACGTGCATAAATCCATTTTCGGAGTTTGTCAGGAGTTAATTAGTTCATGCCGTAAACTTTCTGGACAGATTACACATATGAAACGGGACAGTTGAAATGTATCGCGTTTCGTGCGGCCGCAAAAAGCGAACTTGATGCAAACAAGATTACCGTTTCCATTTTACCCCTCACAGAAGTAAGCTGACACTTTGTATGAATTTTTGACGGTTCCAGACAAACTCGAAATGCATACAAACACATACTTGTATATATACATATACTCCCGTATATACTTGTGTATATATATATATAACAGACACATATGAGGCTATAAATAGTTGAAGAGCGAGGGGCGATACAAACGCCAGAGCTTTCGCAACAAGTAACAGGGACCCGGCGCATCCACCCTGAAATATTCATCTGGGCGCGGAATTAAACGACCGTCCATTAATCTGGAACAAGCATAACGACGCTATTCGGAGGAGGAAGAAGAGTAGGAGTTGGAAGAGGAACGAAGGTAGCGGCTCGATATTTTTCCCATTAAACTCGCCTGCAACTTTAATTATCAGTTCAAGTGTCCCGCGCATATAAATAAACTTGCTCACGTAATGGAAGCGAAACATCTCCTCTCATCTCCTACTTCCACTCTTCAACCATCTACAGATAACAGAGCAACAAAGTTACTCTCCAAGTTTATAGTTGTAAACACGACGATGTTAAAAGTGAAATTGCATAGATCGGGTGTGACCGCGCCCCGAAAACGCATTCCTTTAATGGAAATGAAATATTTCTCGCGCACGTTTCTTAAGCAAATTTTCAATTCGCCAAGTTTGCGCCAACTAAATGGGGACCGGGAATTGGTGAGGAGAGGGTGAGGTGGGTTTTCTCAACCCATTACTTAGACGTAATTAAACCGGAACAAGTTTCACTCCATAATTAATGAGCCACATATAATTTACATTTTAATATGGGCCCGAAATTGAAATCAGGCGCGCAAAACGCCGCGACCTTAATGATACATTACAATTTGCTGTTTAACTAAACTTTAACAATAAACAACAGTTTTATTAATGATAATTTATAGAAATTTTATAATAATAACATTTATTTTAACAACTATAAAAATACATAAATTATTATATATATAAAAGTTTAAAACAAGAAAAAAATCAAGAAATTGTTTTCGTTCAAATTTTATAATTTCTATTACATTATTAATAAACTATTAACTCAAATTGTACAATAATAAGAAATATTGATTTATTGCAACAACCAGAAAATTACATACTCATTCCAACGAATCAAAGTTTTTTTCTATAAATTTTACAGTTTTCTTATAATTTTAATATTAATAAATTGGCTACCTTTACTTGCACAATGAAATGAGCAGAAAATTATCTTCCAAACCTCAACATCGAAAATTATATAAATCAATAAAACTAAATTGTGTAACAATCATTTTACTTACGTTTTTCTGTTGTTGATTCATAATTTGCTATTTTTTCTTATAAACAAATCTAAATACATCGAAACATGTTTCGTTACTCATTATAACGTTACAACGCTGAATAAAAATAAGTATTTTATTCATTAATTATATAAGTTATATCAATAGTTACAGATGAAAATACGAAAAAGAAGAAAATTCTTAAATAATTTTGTAAGAAAAAAATGTTTTTCAACATCGAAAAAGAAATTAATCAATAAAATCTAATTTTTTGCTTATGAATTAACATATAATTATTATACTTAAGTTTTTGTGATTTACTAATCAATCAATTGTTAAACTTTTTTAATTAATTTTCATGTCGACAAATCTAATTACGTCGAAGCTCGTTTCGATAAAACGGTAAAATGCTGAATAAAACTAAACATTTCATTTATTCTAGATAAAATTATATAATTTACACTATATAACTGATATTTATAATTCAATAAAAACGTAATAGAAAAAATATAGCGACGAAGTAAAGTAGTAACGCTTCTTTTATGACAATATTAAAATAAATTACACAATAATGTAAATATGTAAAATCCATACCCTTTTTAATTATAATCTCTATTGTTTACATAATAATTAAAATAAAATATAATAATAAAATAAATTATTTTTCTCAATGAATAATAGAATAAATCATAAATAAACTACTTTACTCAAGAATATAAAGATTCACAATGATAGTTTAGATTTTATCAATCAATTCGTTATTACGTTGAAACGATTTTCATCACTCATTGCTATAAAACTTTGAAATGCTGAATAAAAATAAACATTTATTATAGATAAAATTATATAATTTACACTAGATAATAGATATTTATAGTTCAAGAAAAACGTAATAGAAAAAATATAGCGACGAATTAATCTTAATATGTAAAATCCTTACTTGTTTTAAGAATAATCTCTAATTTTTACGTAATAATTTATAAATAAACCATTCCAATAAATAATAAGCTAATTTACTCATTTATACATAAATTCACTATGATAATAGATTTTTTAAAATTTATAGAAAAAAAATAAACAACATCAAAATTCTTTAAAACTGTTATTTTACTTATAATTAATAGCAAGAATAAACACAAATATTAAAGTTATTAAAAATAATGAATGAAATTTATTTATTTCAATAATATATTATTGCTTGAAAAATAAACTGTTTAATTTTAAACTGTTTTTCTGTTTTATTGCCATAATAATTTATGAAGTTGATATAATGAAACCACTTGTAATAATCATAACGTAAAAATATCAAAGACTTTTCCAGCGTCTTTCGTATATACAAACGTTATATTTGAACGGTCCTTTCTTGCGAGTATATGTTTGCTAAATTGTTATGAGAGAGAGAGGCACTTTTGCAAAGATGACCCTTGCGAGGAGTGGGTCTCTCCACCGAACAAGAATCTAGTAATAATAGAAGATCCAACAACAACAACAGCAAAAAAAAATATGGTATTATAACCGCACAATTCCATTATTTATTCAGTTACGTAAACACTCTGCACTTCCCTACACGTCGATTCTGAATGGAAGCAATCGAACGATTACATCGGACAATAAGCAAATAAGTTCATTAGCTGCCAACAAAATTGATACGAAATTGCGCCAGATGCAATCCCGAAATCGGGAATTTGTCAATTCCACCATTAATAATCTCTTAAACAATTACGTACAATCATTAATCAATTTGGCGGTGGGCGTTAATGCGCGATCGGATCGTTAAAACCAAATCGGGAATCACCGGTAAATCATCATTGTTAACTATTACAACAATTCATCAATCGTTAAACTTAACATCAAAAACGAAGATTTCAACATAGAAATCTCACTTACTCATTTAATTATAAGCATTTCAGTTATTACAAAATATAATTAATTAGGTTTTTTTGAAAGCAATTAAAATTGTATGTTCGACAAATGATTTGTGTTTTATATTAACGCAAATGAGCTTTTTGCGAGCTTTAATCATAACTAGTTTTCGTTTTATGTTCATTAATCAGCGAACATTATGTGCAGCGTGTAATTCCGTTATTGAAATTTCAGTTTGCGCAGATTTAAACGCTGCGAAACTCGTATGTTAATCAATTTACGCTTTGTTTTTAATTGCAAGAACAAAAAAAAATTATTGATTGATATTTGTTTTAATAATGCATTATTAATTAAACAATAAGTGGGAGTCAAATTAAACTTTTAAAATTATTATTATTGGATTGGGCAACAATTTAAAGTGAACATTATATAAATTAATTGGATTGCATTAATTAGTGGAAACTATGCAATTTAGTTGAAATACACAATGAAACAATTTAATATTAGTTAAATTAATTTTGTTATATTAATTAGTATACATTTTGATATTTTATTTATTGGTTTAAAGATAAATAACTGTATTATTACAATTTTCTGTAAATTAAATAAATTTGACTATTTATTAGGAAGTTGTTAATATCTATAAAAAATACAAGCTTCAAAATTTGTTAATTTCATTAATTTGCAACTAAAATTTAGAAATTATAAATTTCCAAACAACAATTTAGAATATGGAACTTCAATTTTCGTTATATGAACAACTTCTTTAAAAATAACCAAATTTACCATAAAATGTTTGAAACAATTTCATAATTTGTCAATCAACAATATTAATAACTAATTTCTTTCTTTTTTAGTAAAGAATTAATGAAATTTGTAATAAAATTTTATAAACAAAAATATTAAACTTAAATTTACTTCACACTTAAACATGTAAGTTAATAATGAAAATAATTAAATTTGTCATGAAAATTTGAGTGAAGCTTTTAATTTAATGGAAGATTGTAAAATAAAAGTTGAAGTTAAAAAAAAAACTGAAATGAATTGAAAGGAAATGAAAGGAAAGTCGATGAATTGTAAAAAAAAAAGTAATACGTAAAGTCGAGGCTCATAAATTTGAGGTTTCGTCGGTTACGAGCATTGTGCGATGTGCACTGTCAAACGGTAGTGATCCATATTAATTGTCAGCATCTGCTAAGTACTTCCTTTGTTTCTGGTTTAATAAAGCCTCAAGAGTTTCGGGCTTAATGAATTTTCACTTCTTTTTTCTTTTATTTTCGTCGCCAGAAACTGTATAGAAATGTGATATGTGAGTGGATAGAAAATTCGTCCATCCTACGTTGATTTCTCCACGTCCTTCTTTCCATTGTCTATGTCTCTCTCTCCGCGTTTTCCTGAAGCTGCTGCAATCTGGTTTGTCGAGTTGCCCTTCTATTCATGGAATTTATTCAGCTGCCATAGTAAATTGTAGTTGTATTTGTGGGTTCTCTTCTCTCTCTCTCCTTCTCTCTCTCTCTCTCTTCTCTCTCTATGTACGTGTGCATGTATGTTGTACATGGGTCCGAGGGAGCATAATATTGGCATTGGAACAATGAGGGCCGACGGAATTAATTCATTTGGCCGCTTTAGTTTATGAACTTCAGCCTTCCCTCGCAGCCGCAGCCAGAGCCAGGTTCGATACATTATATCGCATCCCTCTCCGCACTCCAACATCCAGCGACGTCCTCATCCACGTCCATAAATACCGTTTTTGGGGTAGCGGCGGGAGGAGAGAGAGAGGACGTGCAGGACAAAGCGGAACAAACCGTAGAATGTTACGTGTGTCCGCGCTCGATATACGTCCAGTTTCCAACAGCAACAATTCGCAACAGACCTAGATTTCACCCAATTAAATTTTGATTTGCCATCAAGAGCATTTCTTGTCCCCAGTTTCCTCAACCCTCTAAAATACATAATCA